AAAAGTTCGGAGTGGAACTAACCCCGAAAAATTCAGTCTCTCTCCGTAATCGATCTCTTCTATATACTTGTTAATGAAATAATCGTAGATCAGCGGGATATAACGACTGAATTATTCGGGTAAGTGAAACAAGTGAATAAAAGTCAAAATTAACCATATGTAGTTCCATAAGGAGGGATCTGGACAGCCTGCCCATAAATCAGCCTCTGAGTTGAGTCATACGTATTGACCTTTCTTGGCGCACACACGGTTTTCATTGCCTATGTGTTTTTTTTGTACAAATAAATAATTTGATAATTAATATGCCTTCAATCCATTTTCTTGAGACATATTACACGTACATGAATCATGAATTTTCTACGTTTTTATAATTTTGAACACATAGTATGCCCTGGGATCTGACCTGAAATATACATGAAACATTGAAAATTCACGATAGTAAGGTATATAGGAGCAACATTTAAATTCAAAGGGTTAGGGGTTTGTTCTGAGTCGGAAATAATTCGGAACACAACGTTATTCCCCACTGCCATGCACCAAACATTTTTTTCTTGAAATAAACGGTATGGGGAATTCTGGAATTCCGATTTTTTTTGTCAACTGCCAGACCACAATATTTTTTTCTCTCATCAAATTGGGGATCAGAATATGATCAGAATAGGCCTCCAGATTTTTTTTGGAAAATTTGGTGTTCACCCCAAGAACCGGGTTGGCCACAACATAACAATTTCAATTTTATTTACAATTTACACGGTGTGCATATGTTTAAGTATGTTTAAATGAAGATATTTGCATATAGTTTAGGACTTTATTCATTACAGGTTGAAAAATACAGGCAAAGTTCAAATGTTTATGAAGTGTTACATATTTTGACTTTTGTGAAACCTTAACAGAATAGACAATTGGGGCAAATCTGATGAAAAAAAAAACGAAAATTCCTAGTAACAAAAAATTAACCCACATAACAGCAATTGAAATCTCCTCCCCAAGAAATTGTACCTCAGGACCTGTATAATGCTGGAAGTATTTTAATATGCCTTTGGAACACCCTTTTAAAAAATTGGGTATGGTTCTCCAGGCCACGGTTTAGGTAGCACTTCACAGTTAGAAAATAAAATTAAAATTGAGCCACAGAATGTCTGATAATCTTCCAATCCTGGCCTTCAAATACATTAGGCCAACTGTACTAGCACCCCCTTTTTTCTGAGAAACCCTGGCTAGCACACCCTTCCTTTTTTCACAGTGTCTGGATCCGCCCCTGACCGATACGTAGTTCTCAACTATGATCAACTGTAGGTCATAATAAAGGACGAAATACGTAACGTAAATTAATTCACGCGTGAGGGGCCCCCATATATCACGGCTAAAATTGTACTTAGGTTGTCCTTTTATACAACCTTTTGGCAAGTACCACCATCCCAGAAATCAGTTACCACGATCTTTCAAAATTAACATGAACAGTAACCATCATCAACGTCCTTTTTTTTTCACTCTCTCTATTTTCTAAGTAATGTACAACTGTTTACGCTTGTCAGCAGTGTTTATCATTGTTTTCATTAGTTTACAAGTTGTGACCTTCGAAATTGTTTTATTCAATGTTCCTATAGATTTTTATGGTAACTCCCTGTGCCCCTAAAAAACAAACAAAATAAAGTTTCCCTCCCACAAAATTTTACACTTAAACGTTGATTTGAAAAAAAACTTGATTTTATAATTTTGGTTATCAATTGAAATGAACCTTCTAGAGCCTCAACCTAACGCGCACAATAATGTCAATCATTACACATCAAATTTAACCCTAAATTGACATTCCACAATCGGTCAGTATCATCACCTGTGTTTATAGCTACATGATATTTCCCGCCGTTGGAAACTCTCGTGCAGTGACACAATTGATAAAATCTATTTTTAACATCTCTATTGTGAGCGAAATTTTTGACGTGCATTATTTCATTATTAAAAATGTTCGATCTACATTTGTTGCAGTCTAAAATTTAATTAAAAGAAACGTAATATCATTTCTTTTTCTTTGGCAATTATAGTAAATTAATCTCATCCCGGAATGTATATTCACTTTACCATTAGACCTGAAAGTGATTTCTAATAAATGAAGAAACTGTGTTTTCATTAAAAAATTTAAGAATATTATCGCTCAGGCATATTTATTTTATTTTAAGATGATTGATTGTTGGTTGCTTTACTTCCAGTGGCAAATATTCCATGCAAGTCCGGACAAACTTAGTTTTAAGATCGCACTTTCAAAAATCATTGTAAAACAAAAATGATCAGAAGAACTTTTATTCATGTGAAATAACCGTCCAATCTTTTAAAAAGAACTTATTTACATTTCAAAGTGTAACAGATTAGTTTACAAGACAGGCATTGACGTTAAATATACAATTCCTTGTATACATGTACGCAACTTTCATATCTTTTAAATTGAACTTTTTTGTCTAAAAAGACAACCCACGAGTTTGCGAAATCGAGTTTGAATGCACTGCATTGTGTGTAAATACATATACATATTATGCAACGACGGTCTGACTCTATGTATTACCAGGGTTGCGTTCAATATCGTAGCGGCTACGTAGTGCTATGTAGATTTTTACTATTGAACGTGTAGCTATAGATAAGCTGCTACATAGATATTGATAGCAACTACATAGCCGCTACGTAGCTGCTACGATATTGAACTCAACCCAGTTGACCTCTGATACCAACTAAGGTTACTAAAGACTTTCCCCTGGCCGTTCATTTAATTTTTGTTTCAATAAACGGTTCTAGAAGCAATTAAATGATCTGCGGCCTCTGACATATAATTAAAAAAAGTAACCATCTAATCCCCAGATATATATAATCTGTTTCTCTCTAAATTTACAGAAACATTATATGATATATTTTTGAAAATTCCTTATATCTCAAATGATTATAGTTACTTTGTTTTTAATTCTGTAAACATCTATATATCATAATTTGTACCACACTACAAGGATCTATTAATAACCGTCGCTCACGCATAACGGATTATACAACGACCTATTAATAACCGTCGCTCACGCATCAGTGATTCTATCAATGACTCAATACACACCAGTTTTATCGGACAAACGGCTAATTCCCGCCGACACGGAAAATCTCCGGATAACATGCAAAATATCCTGTAATACAGCAAATTTACGATGAACCTCTAATTTTTATCCGTTTCGCGGAGATTAGCCAAAAAACACCGGAGTTTTTACAAAAATCGCGGTGATTTTCCAAATAGGTCTGCCAGTGATAACACATTTCATGATGTGTATCAACATGATCAATTTATTTAATTTTGAGTTTTAAAATGCAGAATGCAATCTTGTATTTTGTAATTTGGCTTTGAATAGGACAACAATAAAACTATGTTTACATTTACATGTTATTCCATCGCATCACTTTAAAAGTTTCTTTTTAATATTGCATTTGGTATATTTATATATATATATACAATTACTCCACAAAAAAAATTGGCTTGGTTAAATTTTACACATTGACGGTTTAGTTAATAAAAGTGTTAAGAAATGTTTTTTTTCAGATAAACCCTGTTATTTGTCCTCCTTCTGTAAAATTTTTATGGCCTCAGAGGCTGGAATGTTTCTCGGAATTGCCTCATGCAGTTACTGGCATCCTCGACCATTATAACAGACCTTGGACATATAACAGGGCCATTATGAAAACATCCTTCAATTTATACCAAAGTAACAAAATAAATGCCTATTCAGGACTAGATTATTTTAATGTGAAATGAATATGAACCCTGCTTTGAACTAGACATGATGAGATGAATTTTTCAGGTGTTAGTTCACAATTTAACAGTCTGCCAGAAGACATGCCACCTTCCCTGTACACATTATGAAGACTCCTGGCTGACCATTCTTTGCTTTTGCTCTCTTACTTCTAAATGCAGTCTGCTTACATGGCTTAGAGGAGAACCAGCAAATACCAATGTTCAAATCATTGGTTTGACCAAGCCAGGAAGCAAACCTACTGTTTGTAAAATGTGAAAGTTTAATGAATATCTGTAATCTGCAATGAATGATGACAGTACAGCATGTACAGTTCATGTTTTTATAAAAGACTTATAATTTTCCTGCTAAACAGTTATTACAAAATTCAGCATGCTTTTCGCCTTTTTTAGGGGTACAAAAAAATGGCCCTGATCATGCCTACTCCTTTGTTAAGAAATTCAGGGTAGGATAAAATACAAGAAACATTTCAGTCTTGTTTCAAACCATAACATAAGGTAATTTTGATAAAAATCTTCCAAAAATATCAGATATAATGTTTTAACCACAACAGTGCAATCATTAACCTTAAAAATATGTTGTCCAAATATAGATTGGATGGACAATTGTATGTTACACATTGTTACATGTACCAATAGGTTAACAGGTATACTAGTTATATATAGGGATTGTGCCTGATATTCATATGATGAAGACATAATCTTTCAATCAGTTTAATTGAGGTCTGGAGCTGGCATGTCAGTAACCTGCTAGTAGTCTGTTGTTATTTATGTATTATTGTCATTTTGTTTATTTTCTTTTGTTTCCTATTCTGACATCGGATTCAGACTTCTCTTAAACTGAGTTTTACTGTGCGTACTGTTGTACGTTTGTTTTTTCTACATTGGCTAGAGGTATAGGGGGAGGGTTGAGATCTCAAAAAACATGTTTAACCCGGCCACATTTTTGCGCTTGTCCCAAGTCAGGAGCCTCTGGCATTTGTTAGTAATGTATCATTTTTAATTTTAGTTTCTTGTGTATAATTTGGAGTTTAGTATGACGTCCATTATCACTGAACTAGTATACATATTTGTTTAGGGGTCAGCTGAAGGACGCCTCCGGGTGCAGGAGTTTCTCGCTGCATTGAAGACCCATTGGTGGCCTTCGGCTGTTGTCTGCTCTATGGTCGGGTTGTTGTCTCTTTGACACATTCCCCATTTCCATTCTCAATTTTAGTGCTTATACCTAATAAGTTTGGAAGAAAATCTGGAACTGCAATCTCTGGAACAATTCCAATATCTGGCATATAAAAGTAATTTTCTGCTTGAAGCCTTTGCATCTCCTCTCGATGAGCAATGGTACTTGGAGCATCAGCTAATTCATCTTCTTCCTCTATGGCTGCACGTGTTTTTGTCACTACACCAAGTGGATCTAACATCACATACTTTTTATATCTGTAAAAATATTTTAAAACAAATTTAAACAGAAATACGGTACTTTCTTGGCTTAATTATGGCCTGAAATTAATTTTTTTAATGGATTAATCTGCTGGAAATTTTCTGTAACAATACTTTACTTTGTACACTTTGTTATAGAATTTCTTCTATCCATATGTAAAATTTACAATGAAACTTTAACTTTTATATATGACTAAATGCTTATTTTTTTAACATGTTTAAAGATACATTAATAAATTTAAAAATATCTTCTTTTCATGAACACTGTCAGGATATTCCTTTCTATGATCCACGGCTATTCCATTTTTAGTAATACATGTAATAATGGATGGTAGATGCACAATAAATAAGGATTGAAAACGTGTTGACTATATATGTTTTAAATCTTGAATAGCTTTATTGTCATTCATTTGTAAATATAGGGATGGATAGTTTATAAACCATGCTCAGGAGCCCTCATGTTTGGTAGTGCATATAGTTGAATTGATCCCATTTCTCACAAAGTATGAGCTGCTACCATATTTTTACAGTTTTTTTCATATAATTTCTATAGGAAATCATGTAACATTTTGGTAATCATGTAAAACACAGCCTATATTTGATAAATGAAAAATTTAAGACAAAAATTAAAATGTTTAAAATTGCTGCACAAGCTATACATGCTATAAGAAACAGATACCTGGGGACAGGAATATTGTTTTTAGCCCTCCCCCTTTTCTCCAAAATCTGTTATTTTAGCTCTCAATATACATTTTATATTATCAGTGATGCTGTGGATAGTAAACTGGAGTTTTGACAGTAAATAGTAAATATATGTTATTTCTAGTACATTTATGTTAATATAAGTTAACACGACACAGAAAATAGCAAATATAATTGAAATTAAAAGAAAAAAAAATAACAGATTTGGGAAAAAAGGGAGAGGGCTAAGAAAAATTGTCCTGTCCCAAAGTACCTATGATATGAAAATATAGAACAGTGTTAACAGCAATGTGATAAATTTACATTTCATACATTTTAATATTGTTTTTTTTCTATGATCATGATCATTACTTACAAGTTTTCTGGAGTATTAAACAAAAGTAGAGAACTAGTAGAAGTCACTGATTTTGGCAGTCCACCAAGACCTTCATGTACATTTTCGCCTTCTTTTTGTTTTTTCTTTGAATTGAACTGAACACTATAAAACTGTAATTTTTCCTTCAAAGTTTTATCATCTGCAGCTTTGTGCTTGGACTGAACTTTATAATGTGGTCTCTGCACCTCCTTGAGACCATTAGTATTATGACTAGGAAAAAGAATTTTGTACTCTTCAAAGTTTTCCTTTCCAGGATATTTAGATAATGCAAATACTTTGGTTGCTTTATTACTACCTCCCCTAATTTTATCCACTCTGGCTTGAGCTAGATTAACACGATCATTTATTTTTTGAAGTCTTGTTCGATTTTCTGCCACTCTTGAGCTTATCCTTAGGAATACATCATTTGCCATCTTATTCAAGTATTCTAAAGAATCTGCTATCTGATGAATTGTTTCTTCTTTCCGGAGATCTGGAGGTACCCCAGGAACATTAAATGTTTGCTCAGACATTATAACCATTTACAACTGCTGAAAAAATAAATAAAAGAATATGTAGCCATCCAGGTGCTGTGGATTCATTTATTTGCATGGGTACCAATTTTCAAGGATTGAGGAAAAATTGTATTTCTTGGATATTTAATTTCATGGTTTTGCCAGGTAGCATACAAGTCTATAGAAAATTTTTAATTTGTTGAACATTTAAATTCATGATTAAACAAGGCCTATATCTACATACATTGTTACCCCATGAATAATAATGAATCCACATTAAAATCATGAAAATAAAGTTCAATGATATAAATATAGATTGTGGCATTTAAATTAAATATGAACAGAGGTATGAGAAATGTTTCCTTCACTTGAAATCAAAGCCTCCATTTTTAAAATATAATTAAACAAAGATATATGATATCATACATTTATGTGTAAGTGTTTGTTTTTTCTACATTGGCTAGAGGTATAGGGGGAGGGTTGAGATCTCAAAAAACATGTTTAACCCCGCCGCATGTTTGCGCCTGTCCCAAGTCAGGAGCATCTGGCCTTTGTTAGTCTTGTATCATTTTTAATTTTTAGTTTCTTGTGTATAATTTGGAGTTTAGTATGACGTCCATTATCACTGAACTAGTATACATATTTGTTTAGGGGCCAGCTGTGAACGCCTCCGGGTGCGGGAGTTTCTCGCTGCATTGAAGACCCATTGGTGGCCTTCGGGTGTTGTCTGCTCTATGGTCCGGTTGTTGTCTCTTTGACACATTCCCCATTTCCATTCTCAATTTTATGATGGTGTTATACATAAAGTTTATATTGAAATTACACACTATTGGTTTTTGTCGAGCCTTCGACTTTAGTCGAAAAAGCGAGACATAGCGATCCTACATTCCGTCGACGTCTGCGTCGTCGTCGTCGTTGTCGTTGGCGGCATCCACAAATATTCACTCTGTGGTTAAAGTTTTTGAAATTTTAATAACTTTCTTAAACTATCCTGGATTTCTACCAAACTTGGACAGAAGCTTGTTTATGATCATAAGATAGTATCCAGAAGTAAATTTTGTAAAAATAAAATTCCTGTTTTTCCGTATTTTACTTGTAAATGGACTTAGTTTTTCTGCCAGGAAACATTACATTCACTCTGTGGTTAAAGTTTTTAAAATTTTAATAACTTTCTTAAACTATCCTGGATTTGTACCTAACATGGACAGAAGCTTGTTTATGATCATAAGATAGTATCCAGAAGTAAATTTGTTAAAAAAAAAAGTTCTTTTTTTCCGTATTTTACTTATAAATGGACTTAGTTTTTCTGCCAGGAAACAATACATTCACTCTGTGGTTAAAGTTTTTAAAATTTTAATAACTTTCTTAAACTATCCTGGATTTGTACCAAATTTTGGACAGAAGCTTGTTTATGATCAAAAGCTAGTATCTAGAAGGAAATTTTGTTAAAATTTGTACCTGTTTATCCTTATTTTACTTATAAATGGACTTAGTTTTTTTCCAGTTAACATTAAATACAGTCTGCAGTTAAAGTTTTTAAAACATTTATTAGATTCATAAACTATCCTGGATTTATACCAAACTTTGACATAAGCTTCTTACAATCAAAAGATAGTATCTAAAGGAATATTTTTATTGATATTTTTCCTCATTTTTGTTGAGCCTGCAATTAACAGCAAAAGTAGGCGAGACACTGGGTTCTGCGGAACCCTTACGAATTTTTATTATGATCAGTGTATTCTTCATAATCCAACCCTAATACTTCACTCATCTTTAATTTAAGATATCAATCTGCTTAAAAAAAATAAGATGTAAAAAAATATATCTTATCATATGAAATTAAAATGGTTCCACTTTCTAACATGCATGACATGTCTAATATGTCAATGTATGTCTAATGAAAAATCTAATGTATGATGTATTTTTGCTGTTGTTATTTATCTGAAGTAAGAAATCATCATTCCTGCTGTGTCAGCATGCATATGAGTGGTGCTGATGCAAACTCTATAAAGCGAAACATTCTGCTGATTTCAATAGTACAAACGATATTCAAGGTGAATCATAGTCAAATCGTAGTTCAGGTGAACAAAAATTATGTTTTTGAGTAAGTTTCCCAAACATTTCCAAAAATTGGTGTGGTCACTATGCATCTGATAAATAAAATAGACATGAAATGGGCAGTACTAAATTTTCTTTCTGTCATGACAACTTGTTTGGAAACCGTTCTGTGGTTAAACAAGGGTTACAATCAATTTTATTAGGTTTTAATTTTTGATGTCAGAATTATTTCATCAAAATACACATAGATATATATGTATATATGCATGAATGGCAAGTACAAAACCTGGTGATATACATGTAACAAAATCTGAGACTAGACTGTAGTACTATATTCTTATCCTTCTAAATTTATAAAGTTATGAAAGTGTTATTATAATTTTGCAGTAAAACTTGAATCAAGGTTTCTTTGGTTTCTATAGAAGACTTTCACAATCATGCATTTTCTTAATTCTTAATATCACAATACTTATATTATTACGTCATAGTAAGAGTTTGTTGTTTAATGATGTCATTTTAACCTCAGGCCATCTGGCATAACTCAATTGTAAAATTTTAAAAACTAGAAATTGATCTACATATATCTGTACTTCAAATAATGGATAGTTTGAATAGACAAGTTCCCAATTTCTGTTGTATGAATGAAGGGCCTGGTTGACCTGGGGTTATTCTGGAGAAACACATCTTTGGACACTGTGACAAGAAGATATTTAGTTTGTGAGGTCAAATTTTTTCCAGGAAAAAGCACAAATTAGAAAAATTGTGTATTTACTGTTTAAATTTGTTTGGTTAAAAATTGATGGATGGATGTTTTAGGTCCAGAGGCAAATTAAATGCATATTCATGAAGGGAAAATGTTAATGCATACCTGTCAACCTATGACAATGAAAATGCAGGTGATGACCTCAATAGAAGGATGAAATCTCAGGTCATAACGTGTACAAACTTTTTCAAGCTGAATTTCAGTATTCAGGGGACATTTTTCTTATAATTTATATCAAACTGAAAGTTTCCAAAACATGTCCACATGGTTAAGTAATTTAAATTTGTACATTTTATTATTTCATTGCACTTGGAGGCCATTGATAGATTTGTGTTACATTGCCTTTATTCCTATTCATATTCAGTCCATGACATACAATGTGCCAATTTATGTTTTCTTTGCATACATTTGTGCAGCATTTTAACAGTAGAACAAATTAGTGGTTGAAATAAGAGTATAATGAAATAAAGTTAAACAATTAATGGAGGTATAGATGAAAAAAGTAATTTTCCAAATTTTTATTTTTTTAATTGTCACATGATTGTTCTAAGGTAGAACAATAAGTAAAAGTATTATTCTGATATGTTTTTGCATTCAATTCATTTTAGATTTAATCTTTTTACAAAAAAAAACATAAGATTAAGGATTATATTGTGAATTGACAAAAAAGGGGAAGTAACTCAAATTTTTTTTAAAAGGAACTTTGAAATACACAAATTATTTACGACCAACTTAAGCTAAGGTAATTGGTGTTAACAGTGTGTTTGACACCAAAGCTTTCAAGTGAAGCCATGCACTGAAATGGGTCACTTGAGCTGAGTTTACACAGCTAGTTGAACTTTTTGTCCAGGAAGAATTACGAATTTGCCGGTATTTTAAAGAAATCAGTTTATATCTAATCAGTCTGAAGGCTTAGGAATCTGGGTGAAAACAGGTTATTTTCCGAATTCCTGGGTTATTTGGTCACCCGGCAGTGAAAATCTCGGGTCACACCCGCAGGATCTGGGTCAGTTGAGAGGTATGTTAATGTAGTATAAATACCAGTGGCGGATCCAGAACTTTTCATAAGGGGGGCCCACTGACTGACCTAAGGGGGGCCCGCTCCAGTCATGCTTAAGTGATTCCCTATATAATAAACCATATTTTTCCCACGAAAGGGGGGCCAGGGCCCCCCTGGATCCGCCTATGAATATTAATCCTGCTTTGTACTAGACAAACAAGCTGAGCAGATATATAATGTGCTGGTTCACAAGATAACAGTCCGCAGGAAGACATGTCAACCTACCCAGACACATCATTCTGACTACGACCTGTCCTTGCCATCTTTGCTCTTACTTATTAATGTCACATGCTAAGGGAAGAAGCAGAAAATACCGATTTCTAAGTCTGGTTTGACCCTGCCAGGGTTTAAACCTACAACATCCTGTTTTCCAGGCTACCATTCTACCAGGAGACCACCCAGATGGTCATGGTTAAAAATTGAGCTGTGTTAACTAGACAGTAGTTCATTTACATAAACTTATACTTCTTAACTTCAATATGACATTATAATATGTTGAAGATTACAAGAAGGCAGTCAAGTATAATGTGTGCACTATGTTTTCAATCTTGAATACTATCTTCGTTTAGACAATGCTTAACATAATTAACTCTGGAAAGATAATCTCACACAACGCACTTCAAAGCACAATTTAAAAAATATATGGTGCCTAGTGTCTAGTAGTGAAAAGGGGCGTGTTGACTGTTGTTGTGGCTAATGAATAACTTTTTTTCATTTACCTTTTTCAAATACTATGGTTTAAAGATTTTCGACAGAAATTACATAATAAGCATACGAAACTGCATTAACAGTATCATATTGTCAATTCACATAAATTGGGCTAAAGCTTCAAAATGTAGTTTTCTGCTTGTCTACTTGTAAACTTGATCACGAGAAAAAGTTATCAATGAGAGCTTCGTCATTTCCGCCTCTAAATTTATGACGTAGAACACAGAATAAAATGTGTCAATCATTACAAGTATTAGCTTTTTCAAAAGCTTCAAAATAAAAGGCTTTATTTAAAGTCGGCATGTCACAAAACAATAACATAAGCTCTTTTGTAAGCTTGTCTGGCTAGAGCATTTGTTTTAAAAATGTAAACAGTTATAAGGTCGTAACTAGATTGCTACTTAATTAAATGCTTATGCTAAATTAAACATAGATCATGATCATGATCATGATCTATCTGATTCTAAATCTTGGACTATTATACTATATACTATTTCGATATATATATCATTTTAGTTTCTCCTGGTTCCTCTGATTAACCTTTTTTCATGGAATGATCTTCCTGATGATTTTAGAAAATTCAGGCTAATATCAGTCAGTTTATTATTTTAAAGTCAAGAAATATAAATGACGGTAAGTGCACAATTTGTGCAAATTTTTTATCATTTACATCATAACTTATCTTTAATTTTTCATGCTACGCGTTTTACCAGCTTTCTTATCATGCTTAGTTTACTTTTTTATTTGCGTATAGCTTTAACACCTAGCTTATCATGCTTATAAATCTGCTTTTTACTACCATGCTTAATTAAAGTGCTTCATTTTATCACGGTTATTTATTGCATGCTTGTTTTATATTGTATTGTTATGCCTTGTATTTCGATTAAAAGCTCAATAGAGATTATTATGGAACGCCACAGCTGTCTTATGTGGAACTCTGATATTACTTTATGTTATTTTATTATTACTTGATGATATTTTGTCTTTACTTAATATGGTTTTGACATTACGTAATGATGTTTTGATATAACTCAATATGGAATAGTCATTACTTAATGATATTTCGATATTACACGATATGGTTTCGTATTGACTTGATATAGTTTTGTCATTACTCAATATGGTTTTGTCATCACTCGATGTGGTTTCACCATTATTTAATGTGGTTGTGTAATTAGTCAATGTGGTTTTAACATTACTTGATGTGAATGTGACTTAACGTTATGTATAGTTGTTTCATTACATGATGTGGTTTTGTTGTTTCGTAATGATGATTTGCCTATTCTTTAAATGGTTTTAACATTACGCAATGATGTTTCAAAATTTGACGATTTTACACTACATGATGTGTTTGTTTCATTATTTGATGTGGTCCTGTCATTCTTTGATGTGGTTATCCCATTACTTGAGGAGGTAAAATCACGTGACCAATTCGGAAAAACCTGTTCTATTTTTAGATAGATTTCCATGTTGTATGTGCCTTGGATGAGTGTGGCCATCCATCGAATTAGAGTTCAAATTAAAGTTCGGGTTACTGTTTGAGTTAAACTTTGAGTTAGTCTTCGATTTCGAATTCAAGTCATTATTAGAATTAAAGTGTTAGTTAGCATTGAGTTTCGAGTTGGACTTCGAGTTTGAGTCACATTTAACTGAGGTAGAGTTCTAGTTACAACATTAAATTTGAGTCACTTTTTGAGGTAGAGTTTGAGTAAGATTCGAATTTAAGTCTCATTTAGATTAATTAAGATTTTGAGTTGAAATTCGAGCTATCTTATATGAGTTCGTAATTAAATTTTCTATCGCGGAACAAGGACTTTTGCTCGGGCTTCCGAAAAGAGGGCTCTGGGGTATGCGTACAAAAGATAAACAATGTTACAGTATACAAAACGCAACATAGAAGTTGAAATAAAGTTAGATGTGGTGTGATTGACAATGAGACAACTATCCATCAGAGTTTAAATGCAGTGGATGTAAGAAATCATATATAGGCAACCGTACAGCCTTCAACACACCGTATAGTCAGCTACAAAAGGCCACCATGCAACATGTGAAAAAAAATCAAACGAAAAAACAAACGGTCTTATTTATAAATAAACAATCTACAAAAAAAAAATGACACACATTTATACAACGACAACAATTGAACTTCATGCTCCTGACTTGGGGCAATTGAACTTCATGCTCCTGACTTGGGGCAATTGAACTTCATGCTCCTGACTTGGGGCAGGTACATAAAGAAAGTGCACGTGGCGGAGTTTAACATGTATGTGAGCGCTAAATCCTAACCTTACATTGGACTGTTACAGTTGTGTAACAGCACAACACGAGAAAAAAATGTAAACTAGACAAAGTGATGCCCCCGCACTCAACTCATTCAACCGCTTATACCCCAAAAATGACAAAAAAAAGTTCCAATTATCTCCCAAAAGAGCAAAAGATAATAAAAATAAAAACCCTGACCACATGCACACCTTCAATATATGTACAAACAGACAGTAAAGAGAAAACTTCCTAGGATTCAAACTGTAGGAGGAGTTATGCGGAATAACTATATACCCATAATGGGACGGACAGACGGACGGACGGACGGACAGGGGTAAAACAATATGCCCCCCCCCCCCCCCCCCAACTTTCAGTTTCGGTGGCATACACAACAGTTTCATTTGGCTATTTCAATAGATCGGTATGACTGGGTAATATAAATCTATCGGGGTGATCTCGGATGCTCCAGAAAGGCACCCGTCGTGTTATTCGAAAAAGTACAAACCCAGTGATTTCGTTTTATTTGGTAGTTTACATTCAAGGAAATGATGACGGTTTTATGGTTACGACCACTGGAACATGTCCGTCGTCACATATGAAACAGATATTCCAAAAAGTTTATTTTTCAATTGGTGCGAGGTAGATCAGGGAATTCAATTGATTACAAATAAAAGATTGATATTCGTATAAGTTCAAATGATCATTTACGCTAAAAAAAAATTCGGAGAATTCTTATTTTATAGTATTGATGCTTTGTCGCTTAGTCCGAGCCCCCCTCCCCCCGTTTCCCTGTAACTTTAGTGTGAGTTGATTTGAAGTGTTTCATTTGTTAACAATAAAGTTCAAGTCTTTTGATTTAGGTCGAGCCTGCGACATCAATGTAGCGGCAGTGAGACACAACAAACGTATATTTCGTCGTCGATATTGGCGTCGGCGTCTCCATCTCCATTTTTTTTATTTCTATTGAGTTTAACCTTTCATTATACATGTTACTAAACTTGTATGCCATGTATATTACTTTTAGAATATCATACTGGATTTGTTTACCTCGACTATTGTATCTGTATTTATATTGTATGTTTCTCTGTAAACTTGTATTTATTTTTTAGAGAATAAAGTATCTATCTATCTATCTATCTATATATAGATCGTTAGGTTTCTAGATTTTTTACATTTTTAATTTCGGGACCTTTTATAGCTTACTATAGGGTATGGGTTTTGCTTCTTGTTGAAAACCATACAGTTTTGTTTTAGTTAGATAAAACCGAATTAAACTGTTTTGACATGATAAATTTGTAAACCTCCATGAAGTGTTTTAAAACTTGTATAGGAGTTATTCCTTAATTTCAAGAAAAAGCATCTACAGAAAAACACACATTTTTTTTACCGATAAATGTATAGATAAATGTACAGCCGATCAACATGACGCTTTTACACTTACAGCAGCAATATCAGGCGAGACACAGGGTTCCGTGGAATATTTTACAAATTTATTACAAAAATACTGCTTCCGTTTGAGAACTTAGGATAAAAACAACAGGACCAAGTGGTTTGGGGATATCCCAATTATGTCCGAAATACTGTAAACTTTTTAATACTTTTTTCTTATTATTGTCTGCCGTTCCCCTTTTTCATACCAAATAACTCTGAACAACCACTCGAACTTTAATTTGAACTTTAACTCAATGGATAGCGATACCCATCCAAAGCACATTAAACAAACGATATATTGAAATCTGTTTAAAAATAGAACATATTTTTTTCCGAATTGGTCACGTGGTTTTACCTCATCAAGTAATGGGATAACCACACCAAAGAATGACAGGACCACATCAAATAATGAAACAAACACATCATGTAGTGTAAAATCGTCAAATTTTGAAACATCATTGCGTAATGTTAAAACCATATAAAGAATAGGCAAATCATCATTACGAAATAACAAAACCACATCATGTAATGAAACAACTACATAACGTTTAGTCACATTCACATCAAGTAATGTTAAAACCACATTGACTAATGACACAACCACATTAAATAATGGTGAAACCACATCGAGTAATGACAAAACCATATTGAGTAATGACAAAACTATATCAAGTCAATACGAAACCATATCGTGTAATATTGAAATATCATTAAGTAATGACTATTCCATATTGAGTTATATCAAAACATCATTACGTAATGTCAAAACCATATTAAGCAAAGACGAAATATCATCAGGTAATAATAAAACAACATAAAGTAATATCAGAGTTCCACATAAGACATCTGTGGCGTTCCATAGATTATGGTATTCCTTATTTGTATACTTTGCCGACTCGATCTTAATAAACTTATTTTATTATCTCATATAATGGAACGCCATGACTGTCTTCTGATGTTGATTGTTTAATATTTTTGGTGCTTTATGCATTATGTTCAGTAGTATTTATATTATGTTCAGTAGTTTTCGTATTATGTTCAGTAGTTTTGACATTATGTTCAGTAGTTTTTACATTATATTCGGCGCTTTGGTTATTATGTTCAATAGTTTCATTATTATATGCAGTGGTATTTAAATTATGTTCGGTACTTCTAACGTTATATTCAGTGCATTTTTTTTTTTATGTGCAGTACTTTCGACATTATGTTCAGTAGATTCAATATTATTTGCAGTACATTATGTATTACCTTCAGTGGTCCCGGTTTCTTTATATTTAGTGGATTATTCATTATGTTCAATAATAGCATCAGTATTATACTCGGTTCAATGAACTATAATTATGTTCAGTGGTTCAACGGTATCGATCATTATGATGATGTAGTAAAAGTCGGGAAATCAATAACATTAAGTCTTGAAAATGCTACCATTACTCTTCTGTAATAAATGGAAGCTTTAAGGTTACTTCAAATTTCACATGAGGTACATAAGAA